GCGACAGTTATTGATACATGGGTTTGAATATTTGGTCCATCTACTGTAGTAGCGTCCTTGCTCCTAGTAGTAAGGCCAGGAGGCCCTAATAGCTTCTTATTACTAGTAGCTTTTTGCTAATAGTTGTACTGCCAGGAGCCCAGGAGCTACAAGTAGCTTCTTGCTACGGGTAGTAAGGTGCCTTGTAACTAGTAGCGATGCCCTTTGTTACATATAATGTTGGCCTTGGATGTCCTGACCGACCATGATGAATGACACACGTTGGCCTTGGATGGTGCCGGCCTTTAAGTACACTATTGGCACCCTTGCTTGCGGACAGACCTCACGCCGCCCCTTTCCTACCCATGAGGTGGGGTGCACAAAGGGTTATGGAACCAAACAACAAAAACCGCTCTATGCGCTAGGCACTGGTCTTGGTACTGACATCTCGCAAATATGGTCTCACGAGTCTTGTGGATGGTCTTGGAGGAATCGCAAAACAAGCAAATGGTGGAGGTGAATCGTAAGGAGACCTCAGGAAACTCTCGTGCAAATAAGCCGAAAGATAGACGAACTCAGGGCAGCCTGGGCAGCTTGTAACATTTTTCCAGTTTGATCTACAACGAACAAACCTTGCTCGCCTGGCCCATGTTCAAGCCTTTTCGGCACAGTGGACACCTGCGGGCGGCTTCGTGGCTTCGTTGGTCGGCTTCGGCTTCGGGCCTTCGTTTCTGGGAGAAGTCCACGAAGGACCGTTCCAAACTTCACTCAGTCCGGGTGCAAAGGTACTGCAACTATGTGCAAACTATGTGCAACTGCTGCGTCCAAAATACACACAACAGACTATATATGTGCACAGTGAAGCTTTAGATGGCAGCAAATAGCTCTTCAATCCAAGTGTGCAAGCAACAGTCCCGCTCGGATTAACCGCACCTAAACATACCGTCGCTCATTGCAATGCTAGCCACCTGGGAACACAACTTGACTTGCGATCGGTTCTCTCGGTTTCTTAAGCAACAGCCTTCTTGACTTGCACTTCATTGGATTCTGCTACTTGTGGACACCTGGTCATTTGCACAATTCCCACCAATTAAATTGGAGCGCCATTCCTACAGCTTGGCCTTTTTTCCAGAGCGCAATATGGCGCATCGATTCGCATCAAGCAAGCATTTATCTGTGCAGCTGTTTTAGGCTGTTTGACGCAATGCCTCACCCATTGCCCTACGGGCCATTGCCCTACGGGCCATTCCTTTCGGGCTTTAAGTTTCGCCGGGGACCGGTTCACGTTCCCGATGGCCGATCGAGGTAGATTGAAGGCCCTGACCATCCAGGTGGTGATGCAGGACTTGTGGAAGCGATGCCTCGGCGAAGGTGTGAAGTGAACAACGGTGTGCTTCAGTCTCCAGAGTGCCGATCACTCAACGCATGGGGTGACCAGTTTGTTAAACTTGCTCCCCACATTGACGTGTGGGGTTTTGTTCTTAGTGTTGTATCCGCTCTCCTCTGCTCTACGCCTCTCCTCCTCCCGCCCCCCCCACCACCAACCAACCAACCACCAACCACCAACCCCCAACCACCAACCACCAACCAACCAACCAACCAACCAACCAACCAACCACCCAACCACCCAACCACCCAACCACCCAACCACCCAACCACCCAACCACCCAACCACCCAACCACCCACCTCACCCAACCACCCAACCACCCACCCACTACCCACCACCCACCACCCAACCAACCACCAACCACCACCAACCAACCACCACCAACCACCAACACCCAATTGTCCGCTCCTGTGTCTGGTGAAGTTGTTACTGTTAACATGATAGGTTATCCGGTCCTATAACCATTAAAACAGAATTCAAAGGGGGGTAGGCCGCTAGAGGTGAGGTAGGTTAGCTAGGTAAGCAGCTAGTAGAAGTTATATAGGTAGCTAGTATCTTAAGGAGCCACTACCTAGGACGCAGGATAGCTCACTCTTCTTCAAGGAAGCTCCCCCCACCTGAGGGCGGGGGGGGCTTCCTTGAAGAAGCGCTCGCACTAATCATGTGGTTCCTAGATTTTTAGGTAAACTTAACCCCATCTTGCTGACACAAACATTCGCGTGAGTATTCCCGGTCACGTCGTATCAGACTGGTTTACACCCGCATGAAACGTGACGAAATGATCAACTTGGGGCCTTGACTTGGAATGGATAAACAAAGCGAAAAGGGAGAGACCAGGGAGAGACCCAAAGAGCGCAGAAAAGAGCACACAAACTCCAACGGCTGCACCGCCTGTTGCCACATCGAAGTTCCGCTACTTGGGTGGCTTCTGTACCTGCGACGAAAAACCCAATGATCCAGCTCTGCCAACTGCATGGAACAGTTGTCACACTAAGATCCGCTTGGTGCAAATTGCACTGAGTCGCTTCCCAGCTACAATTAGTATTTAAGATGGGATGTATTTTTCCAAGCTCCATGACAGCTGGCGCTCTGGTTTTCGGGCAACGCGGTCGACCATGTTTGGAAAACGCAAGAGGGTTGTTGTGGGAATATTATTAAGCATCGCTAGTAGTGTAGTAACAAGAAGCTACTAAATACAATTATAACTAAATTCTTATTGTTACTACTAGTAAGGCACTTGTTACTACTAGCGTGGCACTTGTTACTAGTAGCTTCCTACCCCCTCATCGTGTTTTGGCTGGTTCGTTCCATGGATGTGGACTGCTTCCCCTTGTGTAGCCTGGGGCTCCCTCTTACCTCTGCGGTTTGAACTAAAAGAGGGATGCATCATGACAAACGTGGAATACAACATGTTCGTTGTCGTGTTGCGTGGCATTGTTGCCTTTGCCATGTCTCTCTGTCTCTCTTCCACTCCCTTCTCGGCTGTGTTTAGAAGCGTCCAGGGTTCAGCTTCCGGGCATTGCCTGGGCGACAACCAGGGAGCCACTCACTCATTAGTAGCGATGACTCTGTCACTTTATAAAAGAATACACGAACATCAACTTCATCCTGATTTTTGACCAATGATTTTGGACCAAGGTGGATTATATATGTTGATTCAAAGGATGAATGAATGTCGATAAATCACTGTGCATTTAAGAAACAAGAGCTTTGTTCTTGATAGGTGAACCTTGCTCACATGTTCAACACCCGGTCAGGTCATGGTCAACAATCACTCCAAGACACGGTTGTTCGTTTTGCTCCGCTGGAAGCGCACTGGCAAACCCTTCTGCATGCGAATGCCGCGCCTCAAGCAGTTGGGTCCATTGGCTGATGGCTTTGCTGTAGGGGGTTCCATGGCGGAACGTGTTGATATGATCTGGTAAATGCATCTTGAGAAGGAGGCCAACATCTCAATTATCTCAACAGTCTAGGGAACAAACTTGGTCCAGCCTTATCCCTCAGTACCCATGTTTGCATGCCAAGCTGGGGTCAAACCATTTCAATGAAAAGTGCCGGGCAGTTTCCGCGCACCTGTGCTTGATTGCCACCAAGGCCTTGCAATTTGCCTGCATATTTGAGAAAGCAAAACAAATCTTGCTTCCACGAGGGCCAGCAGGTGTGCTGCTTTCAAATCTGAGGGACAACCTCTAACGTACAATCTTATGTTTAAGAGTTCTCTGTTTGAAACATACTCGTTGCCTTTGCAAAACAAACACGTCAGTGGCTATGACAAAATCATTAACAACATCCATGCCGTGTCAAGGAGGTAGCAAATTTGCAGAAGTAAGATTTCTTCACTCCGCCTTGTACATGCGCCTCAAGGGGTTTTCTAAGACGTACTTGCCAATCTCTTCAGCCATGCGCTGTTCCTGATGTGCTTCATTCAAGCCACCAATCACATCTAATCACCAATGACTGCTATGCTTCGGCCTCCCACATCGGCGCAAACATTGTCGGAGCATTCAGAAGGATGCAAAAAAAGGGACAATGGTTTGGAAGTATTTAGTAGATTAATGTCATAGGATTGCATAAACACCCTGAATGAGATTGCTATGAAAGAGGTGCAGCTCCTCGTCTTCAGTCAGAGTATTCACAATCCTCAGCTGGTCAAGGAGAGAGATGTATACTGTATGTGGCTGTTCATGGGGCAGGGATTCAGTGTGTATTGACCATGCAAAGTACTGTCTGTACGATGAGAAGTCCAAAGAACCAGTAATTAAAACGATGTAAGAAGTGAGTGACATTCCGCTGATGTCTCACACCCCAAATTAGCAGGTGCCATCTGAGCAAAGCATACGTTGCAGCCAAGCATCTTATATGGGTCAAGCGAACAGTCGATGCAAATTTTGAAAGCAGTGGTCTTGCCAATGCCATAGACGCTGCAGATCAAAGCGTATGCCAGCTCCTTGTTACCTTAAAACTAACGAGCCCAGGCAGTGCTCAGCTGAATGTTAACCAACAATTCTGAGAGAACATGAATCAGGTAGAATAAATGCCTTTGCTCTTGTCGCCGTTTCCTGCGTTTTTCCCCCAATGGATACCAACAAAACACAGTCAAGGCCCGTCAAAACCAGTGCAACTATTGCCGACGAGTCTAAAGGAGAAGGGACACAAAATGCCGGCAAGGCACGGGGGATCTCCTGACAAATTTGCCCCGGCAGTGTTGCGCATGAAAGCAACTTGTTTGTGACATTGTGAGAAATCAATCTAGACTCAGCTGGCATTTTAAAGTTAACATCTGGTTTCTACTAAGTTGTTTGTTCCTATACCAAGCATGCTTCCGCCAATGCAAGTCATGTCAAACAATCCGCGCTCTTGGCCAACCCCGCAGATCAAGGTGTCAGTTCTCACTCCATTCTATGCCTTTGATATTTCTATATATATCTAATTTGGATTAATTTGGTGTAAATACTAGGAAGGACTCGTCACCACCTTGCCAGCCAATCGCAAGCGTCGCTGTGTCAAGCTGCGCCTGCAAAGGGTAGCATCCAGAGCTTGTAACGAACGTGTCAACGCAATCTACTTTCTCGCAGCCTTGGACTGGATTCTAAACACATAAGTTCACTGAAACGTCACACACAGCACACAGCACACACACACACAGAGTTCGAGTGCTCGGCGCAAAACGCGCCAGCTGTGCCGCAGCAAGGCACCGGCTACGGCCAGCACGGCGAAGGCACCGCCGGCCGCAGTAGGTGTGGCTCCGGCGAGATCACTACGGCTGCGCATGCTGCGCACGCTGCGCACCTGTGCAGCTTTTGGGTCAGAGACTTTTGGCCCGGAGGGATGAATGTGCTTAAAGGTTTGTTACGGTGTGGAGCTGTTTGGAGCCTTTAGGCCTTGTCAACCCCAACAAGCCGTTCCCGATGGTAAGGGCCCAGAGTTGGCAATTAGGTGAATTTAAAGGTGTTGTTGCCCCGACTTAGTGGGAACTGAGGAACAGCAAAGGAAATGTTTGTGTGTGTCTTTGTTGAAGATCCATGTCCTGTGAAGCCATTCATGAGACTTCAAGAAACTTCAAAATGGGAAGGAACCCGAAAGAGTGCACGCTTTGACCATTTGCACACACAAAAAATCTATTATAATTTAGTATATTATACACCTGAGAAGGGAGGGGACGAAAGCCAGCCCTCGTAGACCCTCAGAACTCTAGTCTAGTAGACACTGAGAACTCGTAGCCAGCCCTCGTAGTAGGTTGGAGGCATTGCTACGTACGTTTTGGGACCCTCGCAGTCCTTTGCAGCCCTTCTAACGAATGCCGAAACTGCAAAAAAACGAGCAAAAAGTGATATATCTACCACTACACATGCCGTTTTCGTTGAGTCCGTTACTCACAATGCGTTTCGGCCCACCCTCTCTTGGACCACGTAGACTCTAACGGCCCTTCTTCGTTGATTACAGCGGTAGCACGCCTGCTTGCAGGTTGCCGTCTTTACAGCTGACCGCATCCATGTTTGCTGGGGAAGAACCACACACAACTAGACAGACTGCTGTCCACTTATTGAATGGTATCCTAACCTGCTAATGATGCACTATGCAACCTGTTTGGCATCACTCGCATTACCAAAGCCATTTTAAAATTGCATTTCTAGCCCTTGGTTCAAGCCTACCAGCTGGCTGGGCTGTGCCCAGCAAATTGAGCCCGTGAGCGTCATGTCGATTTGGAAGGGCCATCGACGGCCCGCAATAGAGCTGCGAAGGATCCCCGGCGATCCTGAGAGGTTCATGGAGCTTGAGACTGGGCAGTACTGGACCTGCATCGGACTGACCTCCGATCTGGACCATTTCATTTGCTATGAGCCTTGCTGCTTGGATGACATGCCTTCGGTCATTGATGCATCAAGATGCAAATGTTTCCCAGTTTTCTCCCCGAATGGTTCCATTGTGCCTCGGTTGCTCGATATCTTCGCTGGGACAGGTGCTGTAGGACGCACCTTCAGTGCCTTGGGATTTCAGACGATTGCCTCACTCGACATTGGAGATCTTGCCTGCAGTCACTTGAGGCAGCTGAATGACGGAATCACCATCCAGGGAGACATCAGTGATCCTAAGGTCCTCACTCTGCTTCATGACACGTTGATCCAAGCAGGGGTGGAGGGTTTTTGCCTTTCGGCCGGCTTTCCATGCCAGCCGTTTTCGAGACAGGGTCTAATGCAAGGCACAGATGATTTGAGGTTTGGTGCATTTGAAGGACTTGTCACTGCGATCAAGTGCCTAAAACCAAGACTTGTTCTTCTAGAGTGCGTGCCACTTGCAGCTGAAAATCAAACAGTTCGTAAACACCTGCAACAGCTGTGTGAACGGTTTGGATGGGAGCAAAGGGAAATTTGTTTGGAGTTAGGTCATCAATGGCCCATGAATCGGTTGAGGTGGTTTTGTGTTTTGTCTGATGCTCGAAACTTGCCACCCCGCATTCCACCATGGGGTATTGATCGCCATCACCAATCCATTCAAGATGTTTTGCCCTCCTTCTTGCCATCCACACATCATGGAATGCGCGAATTGTACTTGAGTCAGTATGAACTAGATTGCTACTTGGACGCAAGATTCGGTCAGGACAAGCGGCAGTTAGGTCCTAAGGACAAATGCTGTACGATACTACACTCGTACGGCTCACCGCTGCATGGTTGTCCCTGCGGATGCAGGAAAGCAGGATTTGCGCTCGCCAGCTTAGTCACTAAGGGCCTCAGAGGATGTTTCGTGGTCTCTCCAGACCACCCTGCACCGAGATACCTTCACGCTGATGAGCTGAGAGTTTTGTTTGCACTGCCACCGGATTTGCAACTGCCTTCTGATCAGAAGCAGGCACTTTGTTTGGTAGGGCTAGTCGCTGCACCACTCCAAATTCTTTGGGTAATGGGACATGTCATCTTGGCAGCTTCTCGCACTGAT